AAGAGAGTTATAGATCAAACTTAAAAAAATGTACCTTTAAGAAAAATTGATGATATATTATGGTTGGGAGGAAAGAGAGAAAGGAAAGACAACCAGAGGCAGAGAGGCAACTGGGCTGAGGCTACAACACAGGACACCAGGAAAAGGCAACATTAAGAACACAGCCCCTCTGTAGACAGTGCTGAACTATCCAGAAAGATAACAAACATCTTAGGAAATAGGAGGGAGGAAATGCTGCCCATGTTTTGACCTGACCTGCAGTCATAACCAAACAGATTCAGGGTTCAAGGTTAAATGGGCATCACTCACTACCGTGGAGAGGAGAGAGGGCTGTCAATCAGTAGTGAGCACCTGCTGAAGACCTCAGGCGGCCCCCGTGCTGAGCAGGGCTCTGGAGGAAGCAGACCTGCCAGGTAAGTTTCAGGCCAGGGAGCCAGGCTGCTCACCTAGGCCCAAACTCCATGAGGACAAACATCATCTCTCATGAAACCTTGAAAGAACTAAGCAAGACCCAGTGATAGCACAAGATGGTGAGATCCAGTCAGACTGCAAACTGACTTTGTGGACCAGGGGAAACCACCATGGAAGACCTGGGAGGAAGCAGACTTGCCAGGTAAGTTTCAGGCCAGGGACCTAGGCTGCTCACCTAGGCCCAAACTCCATGAGGACAAACATCATCTCTCATGAAACCTTGAAAGAACTAAGCAAGACCCAGTGATAGCACAAGATGGTGAGATCCAGTCAGACTGCAAACTGACTTTGTGGACCAGGGGAAACCACCATGGAAGACCTGGATCTCAAGTGTAGTAGGGATGGGTAGGATTTGGTTAGACAGAGAAGCTGAGCGCAGAGAACAGTGTGAGCACAGCCCAGGAGTGCAGAGGTGTGTGGACTGCACTAGGGATCACAGCGGGGGACCAGGCGGAGGCTCTGTGCAGGGGACTGGCAGGTAAGATGGCAGCTAGGGGTAGTTATGCAGTCACGGTATGCCAGGCACTGCTCACAGCACCAGGTAAACATCAGTGAACAAGACAAGGGTCTTATTAGGAACCACACCAGCTACTATTTAGTAGAAGCAGAGATCTTCCTGAAAAACTGGCAGTGACATGAAAAGGACACATAATAAAAAAATTAAAAAAAGGAGAGATACAAATAAATCCATACCACCCTAGCTCTCCCCGCCCCCAAACAAAATGGAAAGTGTGTCCAGCTGATAATGGCCAGGGAGAGGGAGATGGATCCATAAACTGATTCAAACCACCAGCTCTGCCATTGCACTTCTTGATAATGCTGGGTCACCTGGCAAGACAGGTGAAATAAAGTTAAAGAAAGGGGGGGGGGAGGCTTCCAAGATAATTATGCCACTTTGAAGTGACCACATAATCAGAATAAATGTGCTACGGATTCTTTTTTTGAGAAATGCCGACTCATGCCTTAAATTACATCTCTATTTACTTATAAAGTAATATGTCAAACACTTGCAAATCAATCTAGTTTCCAGGAAGAATTTCAGATTGAATATTTTCTCATTTGCATGGAAAAGCTCTTCACAGGACAAACAAAGTTGAGAATAATAATATGTCTTTAAACATTTTTGTTCCTATCTATTCCTTCTCTTCTTAACAAAATAGTCAATGACCGGTTCATTGCAATTTTCTCCTACAAATATTATTTTAGAGAGCTGCCATCAGTGTAAACATCTTCATTCACTTTCCTTTAAATTGCACCATTTTACTGAATAAATCACTCAAAGTCAGGGACCTAGACAAGGGGCCATATTACTCAGGAAGGAGATAAAATGTTATATTAGCGACAGGAGTGTTACATGGCAAATTGGGCATGACCTACCACCTCCGTTCTCACCCCAGCCCCCACCATGTACCTTAAGCTTCTGTGACCGAATCATAAGTCTGGAAAACTCAATTTGGTAAGTGTGGGAAGACAGATCTTCACTGAAGAGTTCATTTTCTAATCAAATGTGAGGTGGTAAAAGGTTGGGCTGGCCGAGTAGATCATTGGAGTCTGTATTAATAACACCAATTCATTTTAATTCAGTGAAGCACGTAATTGGCATCCAGCTTTTCAAGTTCACCACACACTCCTGTCCCTGGAATCCCTAATATTTTAAAAACTTTTCTTATTTGGTAATAGCTGTTTTAATAATTTGCATTTTAACAAGAGGTTACTTGTAGCTGACTTATACTAATTATAAATGTGTTGGGTTTTACTGAGCCAGTGGTACCCACCAGCCAATGACAAATCTTTTTAAGTCTTAACTTGAATTCCCTGTATTTATTCTGCAGGCAGCTAAGACTCCAGCAAAAAGATGAATGAGGCCCCTCGAGATGACCGCACTTTGAATAATCAGAAGTGGTCAACGGGGTCAATTACTGTTTCAGTTTGTTCCCTAGCTGCTGCATGTAAATTCGTTTACTGGGAGCTTAGAGAAAGCCTCCATAGCATTTGTTTGATTGTCTTTATCTCTGCAACTTCAGTCTTTCTGAGATGCAAAACCCCAAAGGCTGGAACAGACCATCTCCCTGGGAAGAGACGATGGGGCAGAAGGGCTGTGTGCCTGAGAACGAGACAAAAGAAAACTTTCTCTTATTCACAGGGTGGAAGAGAGACGAGATTGTTGGCTTAGTTAAAAGGACTGAGGCCTGAGAGTCCAGCGACGTGAGTTTTCTAATCCTCCTTGGCTGAGATAACTAACCAGCCAGTCACACCAAGAGGAGTTTCTTCTGGGCCTTGAGTTTAAGGAATTTAAGTTCAAAGAGCATGTCATGCATTTCTTTACAGCAAGAGATAGAGTAGCAACGGGATAGAGGTAAGAGGGGAAAGTAAGAGGAAGAAGTCCTATCGTGAAAGTAAAAACAAGTGAGCAAGTCACCCATGAAGTTCATCAGTATAGAAGCTGACCTTCCAGCGTCTTCATATGAGCTGAGTAAATATACACAATGTTCCTGGTTAAAATAAATAACTTTTTAATACCTATTGGATGTTACTGAAGTAATACAGATAAATCATAGCCACTGCCCTCGATCTTACAAGTACATAGAAAAAGACATACACAAAGAATAGGATTAGTAAGCAAGTGGTGTAGATTCAGGAAGTGAACCACAGAACTCAGAGATTTCCAAACTTGGCTGTGCATTCGAGTTACAGCACAACGCTCTTTCTGAAAATACAGATGCCTCAGTGCCAGTCCAACCTTCAGAGGGTAAACCCCTGGAATCTATAGTTTTAACCAGGCTCCTAGGTCATTCTTATTCAGTCACCCTGGCACCAGAAAAGGCTTGAATTTTGAAAGCAATATACCCATTACCATATTTTTCCCAGTTCTAAAGAAAGAAAATGTCACCTTCATTAATCCTCTGGACATCGAAATGAAAAGACTTCCTTAGTCAATCTACAACCCAGAGTCACTTTGTCCCAGTTCACTTCATTCCAATCTTCTGTTTGTCACTCTCTGTCTTCTTTGATACAGTCAGGGATAGGAAGCAAAGAGAAGAGGTGTCAGATTCTCAATGTGAATGGATATTTCTATGCAGATGAGGAAGGCTTGGCAGGCAGCACTGTGGGGATGCATTTAGCTCACCTTTAAGAACAGCTGGAAACATTTGGGAAGTGAAGGCACCTAGTGGAGCCCTGAAAGCCTGCCAGAGCGATTAGATTGTAAAGGAGAAGATAAATGAAGAGCTCACCACATGACCACACCTCTACCTGGTAATAATGGCAGGACCAGGTAGAACCCTGATCCCTGAGTTCTCAGTATGCTCTCTCACAAGCACCTCCCGACTCCCTCACTGGCTGCTGGCTGGCACCAATGGAGTGAGGCACACAGGCTAGTCCTCCTGCCTGAACATTTATTTACATAGGAAACAGCACAGCCTCGCTCTGTACTTAAGATATATTGTCTTGAGTCCATTCACTTAAACAGGAAGCTCAAGTTCACACTTAGTGGCTCCATTTTGCCCGTAAGAACAAGTTTGTGGGTAATGAATACATACTGAAAATAGTGAGTCCCTATCCCTGGCCTCTGGGCTACTGGAGGCCATGAGGCAGGACTGTTTAGCATCCCACAGTGGGACCAATATGGAAGATATAAGCTGAAAAGTGCCCAGCCCAGGATAAACAGGTGGGGCAGACAGGCATATATCCGAGATCTGGGTGGTCAAAGGGATGACAGCCAAGATGGGAGGCGCCTCAGTGTGACGGGCCAGGCAGGTGCAGGGGCATCAAATTTCTGTGCTTTATTTTCATGTTGTGGACGTTGGAACTCTCTTACACTGCTGGTGGAAATGTGAAATGATGCTAACACTGTGGAAAGTGGGTTTGCAGTTCTTCAAAAGCTAAACATAGAAACACCATTATGACCCAAAAGAATTGAAAACAGGCACTCAAACAAATACTAGTACACTAATAGTCATATTACCACTATTTATTATAGCCAAAAGGTAGAAACAGCCCAAATGTCCATCAGCATTGAATGGATAAATAAAATGTAGTGTGTGTGTGTGTGTGTGTGTGTGTGTGTATTATACAACCACAAAAATGAAGTACTGATATATGCTACAATGTGAATGAACCTCAAAAACATTATGCTAAATAAAAGATACAGAAACAAAAGGTTACTCCATATTATATGATTCCATTTATATGAAACTACACACTTGGTGCATGACATTCATGCACTGGGAAGGGGTCCCTCAGGCAGGCCTACACCCTTTTTGCCGAGGGGTCCTTAGCACTGTCACGGACTCGGGAGAGGCTCCCACCACTACCACTGCACTCGCCAGCTATGAGCCCTGCTTCTGGCTGAGCAGTGCTCCACCTGTGGGAGCTCACTGACCTCCAGGGGGCAGCTCCTGCATTGAGCATCTGCCCCTGGTGGTCAGTGTGCATCATAGCGACTGGTCGTTCTGCTGTTCAGTTGATTTGCATATTAGGGTTTTATCACAGAGGATATTCAGTTTATTTACTCAAAACTTGGGTTGCAGTCTTTTGTAATTGGATTTTTCCCACTTAAAATTATTTCTGGGTAACTTACACAATATCATATGTCAGTTATAGCTCAATAAAGTTGGAGGGAGAAGAAAGTGGCATTTTCTTGGCTCCCCCAGGACAGCTAGAGACAGCCTAATTGAGTGATTAAGGTCATGGAATCAGAGTAAGACTACCTGGCTTCAAATTCTGGTCCCTCCACTTATGGAATTAATCCCACCCCCACCTCTGAAATTCATCAGGACCCTTTATTTTTATTTAAAAATGTTTTTTATTGATTCTTAGGGAGAGAGAAGAGGGAGACAGAGAACTGATTTAAGAGATTGATCTGCCACCTCCCATATACCTCCTACTGGGAATCAAATCAGCAACACCCCAATGCCTGGGGCAACACTCAACCAACTGAGCTACACCAGCCAGGCTGTCCCAGGACCCTTTATTGACAATATTGTCTTTCCCCCCCCATTGCTCTGTGGTGCCACCTTTATTTTAAATTAGTGTCCATATATATGTATGTGTATCTGTTTCTGGGGTTGTTTTCTATTCTGTTCCATTGATCTGTTTGACTATAAACCGTAGTCTCTAGAGCAGCGGTTCTCAACCTGTGGGTCGCGAACAATGAAAATACATCCTGCATATCAGCTATTTACATTACGATTCATAACAGTAGCAAAATTATAGTTATGAAGTAGCAACAAAAATAATTTTATGGTTGGGGGTCACCACAACATGGGGAACTGTATTAAAGGGTCGCGACATTAGGAAGGTTGAGAACCGCTGCTCTAGAGGATGTTAATTTTTTTTAAAAAAAAATTTGTCACATATTTAAGGAAAGCATTTATTTGCTATCTTTAAAAAAAGGTAATAGACTCCTTGAGGCTACTTTTCTTAGAGAAAGTGAGACTGATTCTGGGAAGTTTCCTAGTTGTCCCAGCTATAAGTAAAATTGCAGAAACAGAGTCAGTCACTGACAATTCATATTTACTTTCTCTATATTCCTTTTCCATTCCTTGTCCTTTCAAACATTTCTCTTGTCTCTGGGGATCTACCATCTGTCTATCCTATTACATTCATCCCTCTCAACTAGATGTCAGAAAACTGTGTAGAGACAAACAAAAACATAATTATAACAACCCTTTCCAGGGACATTTGCATTTTAAAATAGTCTCCATAGAACAAAATGCCTCCCAAACCAAAAGGAATGGATCTTTCATGGCAGAATGTTGGAAGTATAAGGAGGTCACAGATGGCTGATTTCTCCATCTGTAATTTTGTGAAGTAGGACTGGGTGATATCTAGTTTTAGAGTCCAGAGAGGTGTCATCATTTGCTCAAAATCACCTAGTTAATGTGTGTGAAACTATAATCAGGATTGGAAACATACTTTTTATTTTTTTTGTGGGGGGGTTCTTTTTAGTGACCTTAAAATTTTCAAATGAGTTTATTCAGTTTCTTCCAAAGATTAACTCTTTTTTAAATTGTTATGGAATGCAAGATTAGACTGCAGTCTTTCATTTAAAACTCTTTTAAGCAAAAGGGAAAAGACAGGCCTTAAGGTAGGCCTTCCTTCAGTAAAACAATACTTGTCCCCATCTGGTACATTTAATGAAATGTTATCTTACCTCCTTCCCACCTGCCAGTTGTGGCCCTGAGGCAGTGTGTCAGCTGCCTGGGCCATTTTCTACAGAGGAATCTTTCTTGTGAAGACTATGTGTTGTTTTAGAGACACAGCTCCTGGAAACTGGAAAGACCCCAGTTCCTTGACTCGGCTCTTTGCTCTCCTGCGCCCTCCCCCCCACCCCCACACCCCTCCCACCGAGGCCCTGACCCTTGGGAACTTATTTCCAAGTCACAGTCCCTTCTCAGCACAGTACTTCACAGTACCAATACTCAGTTACTTGCAGACCTGGGTTTCCCTCAGGTCATATGGACTTTCTTTTATGAAGTAAAATTTACATAACATATCATTAACAATTTTTTAAAATTTTCACTCAAGAATATGTTTTATTGATTTTAGAGAGAGAGGAAGGGGGAGAGAGAGCGAGAGAAACATCAATCTGTTGCTTCCTGTATGAGCCCTGAATGGGGATGAAACCCACAACCTCGGTGTGTGCCCTGACTGGCAATGGAACCCACAATCCTTTGGTGTATGGGATGTTGTTGTACAACCATGGCCTCTATCTAATTCCAAAACACTTTATCACCTCAAAAGAAAACCCCATACCTATTAAACAGTCAGTCATTCCTCATCCTTCCTCCCTCCAGCCCTGGGCAACCTCTAATCTGCTTTCTGTCTCCATGGATTACCTATTCTGAATATCCTCTGTGATAAAACCCTAATATGCAATGATGAGAATCATTGATCGGCTGCCTCCTGCACACCCCCTTCTAGGGATTGAGCCTGCAACCCCGGGCATGTACTCCTGGCTGGAATCAAACCTGGGACCCTTCAGTTCATAGGCCAATGCTCTATCCACAGAGCCAAATTGGTGAGGGCAATGTACTAGTATATGATTTCTTTATATAAAGATATAATTGACTATTTTACTGTTGGACAATTTGGGTTATTACCATTTGGACTTTAAGGAATAACATTGCTATTATCATACATGAAGGTGCTTTCTTGGTGTGCTGTGGGTGCATTTCTCTGGGGTATATATATTTCCAGGACTGACTTGCTGGATTATGAAGTATGTGTATCTTCATCTTTAGTAGATTGTGTCAAACTCTTCCAAGATGATTGCATTAATTGACATTCCTGCCTGCAGTACATGAGAGTTCCTATTTGCCCCGTATTCTCATTTACACCTGACATTTAACAAACTTAGCTATTCTGATGGGTACATTGGTTTTCATTGCAGTTTTATTTTGTATTTCTCCAATAACAATGAAGTTGAAGTTGAAGACTACTTCATATGTTTATTTGAGCCATCTGGATATTCTGTGTTCAGATGTGCTTGTTCAAATCGCTTGCTCATTTTGCTGCTGATTATCCGACTTTTCAAGAAATTGATTTGTAGGCATTCCTTTTATATTCTGGATAAAGCACTTCATTGAAAATGTGTGGCCAATATATTTCCCCACACATTTGTTTGCTTTTATACTTTTTCATATTGTCTTTTTAGGAAGTTTCTTAATTCAAAGATAGTGAAATATATCATACCCCTCTTTCCTCCTTACTATGTCTGATTTTTAGTGTATCCTATTTAAGAAAACTTTTCCTGACTTGGAGGACAATAATCTCCTTTACTGTATTCTCCTAAAAAATATTTTTCTGTTGTTGTTTGTTTGTTTGTCTTTTACATTTGGGCTTACAATTTACCTGGATTTGAGCTTTGTGCAGAATGAGGTAGGAGTCAAAATTTTATTGTTTTCCATGTGGACATTCTATTGTCCCGGGACCCTTTACTTTATTATTATTATTTTAAGTTTGTCTTTATTGTTGAATGTATTACAGATGTCGGCTTTTTGTTTTTCCCTATTGACCTCCTCCTTCCCACACCTGCCCCTCCCAAGCCTTTGCCACACTATTGTTTGTCTACATGGGCTAAGCATATAAATTTCCCCGGTTAATCTCTTCTCCCACTCCCACCCCCACCCCCACCCCCACCTTCCCTCTGGTGTATTTCAGGTGATGGTTTAAAAATATATATATTGCTATAGATCTCTATTTGTTCATATGGAAGAGTGTCATGAAATATTAAGTGAGGAAAATGGTTTATAGAATGGGGTAAGTAATCTAACCATAATTTTGAAAATATATGGATAGAAAATTACAGTAAAATAATCAATAGGTTAATAGTTATTATCCTATATAGTATAAATTTAGTAATTATTTTTCTAATTTTTCTACAAACAGATTACTAAGGTTATAAATAATCATAGCTACCATTTATTGAGCACAAACTATGTGACAAATATTGAGAAAAATATATAAAACATTTTTCTTATTTAATCTTCACAAAAACCCAGCAGGATAAATATAATTACCTGCATTATGAAGCTAAGGAGATTAAGGAGAAAAAAATCAAAGAACAAAGATCAAAGAACAGAAAGTGGTCAAAGTATTTAACTGGGTCTGTCTGGCTCCCAGCAAGCACTCCTTCCCACCACATCACACAGGACGGTACATCAAGAGTTAGTTTCAGAGCCAGGCTTTGAACCCAAATCTCTTTATTCTCTTTTAAAGCAACAATTTCTATAAGATTGTAAAGTAACACGCAAAGACCAGCTTAGAGAAAGAAAAAAAAGACCTTGATAGATGCTAGCTGTGATGTGAATAAGGAATAATAATAATAACAACTACCATTTATTAAATGACCACTCTGTGCTGAGTACTTGCTGAGTATTACCTCATTTAAACCTCATTATCCTTCTGTCGATTGACTGCATTAATGGCCCTAACTATTCCTCTCTCCTTGTATCCACATTCTTTGCATGCAACTGTGTAATGCCCTCCCACTGGGACTCGGGGCTTAACAGCAGCAGTGCCTTGGTCAATAGAGTATTAGCAACCAAAATAATAATAATAATAATAATAATAGCCTTGAAAAGTGCCTCTGTGTTACTGCTTGCTGTTCTTGCCCTCTGCCTTCACCATGTGACTATGCTCAGCCAGCCTGACAGAGGATGAAAGGCTCCTGGCACACAGGAGTCCAAGCCATCCCAGATGAGGCCACCTTAGATTAGCCAATAGCCACTCAACACCCAGAAAAGTGATCAAGCCCAGTCAAGGTTGGCAGAGCTTCTGGCCATCATTCATATGACTCCAGATACACGAGCAAAAAGTGTTTTCTCCCACTGAGGTTTTGTGGCAAAAGCTAACTCATACAAACTTGAGGAGGCAAAGAGTATGGTTATTATTCCTAGTTCACACAGAAGGAAACTGAGGTTCAGGAAAATTACACAGCTAAGTAAGTGGTGGGGCCAGGATTTGAATCCAGGTTTGTCTTAATCCAGAGGAATTGCTATTAATCATCATACTATATATATTGCCTCTACAAATGCATTCCCAGCTCTGGCTTTAAATGGAGCTCCAGCAATGTGTGTGTGCATGTGCACACACATGCATGTGGGACTCTGCAGCTGCTCACTGAACATTTAAAATCTGGCAGCAGTATTTCTGACGAATTCAAATATCTGAGCTACATTTAGCACTGCTAAAAGGCTTACTGATCAAAATTGTTTAAACCAACAATTTTGTGCTTGGGGACCCTGGTGTTTTTCTCTCTCTACTACACTTGTTCTTATGTAGTCCATAGGCATTTAATTTCTCACAGATGCCTTCAGTGCTGACAGGTATCCCAATATGAATGTGTGTGCTTCAAAGATTTATTCTAAAAATGCTGATGACATCAATAGAACATGTAAGATCTGACCTTCACTTACACAACGATTGGCATTGACTATAATTCCTTATGAGATTTCACATAATCAGCATGCTGATGTGTGCAGCTAGAGTACATAGTCAGTTGTTCTGTATCAAAAATCACCTTGCAGTTGGGGCAAGGGAACAAATTCTCATATTGAATGGTCAGGAGAATCAGTTATTTGATATACAGCCAGATTCAATAGTCCAAATTAAGGACCTGCAGGAGTAATAAGTGGATAAATGCTATATCCACCCAAAGTCTTGTTTTCTACCCAGGAATTCTCAAGATATAGGGGTCAAAGAGCAGAGAGCTCTCAAGTGGTTTGGGGACAGGTGTTGTGAATGGAGATTCTCTCTCCAGGAGCAAAGCACAGCCTGTGGACAAGCTTTGAGAAGGGGATCTGGAGATATGATTCCTGGTCCCACCTCAGACTGATGGGTGTGACAGACATCTTCCTTTGCTTCCCAGATCACTCTCCACACCCGCTCAACCTGCCCAGTGCCAGGAGATGGACAGTATGGACTTCCTCGCCTCTGGCTTACAGTGGGTTTGCTGGAGAGGGAGCAAGATGGGAGAGAAGGAAGCCGAGGTACTTGTTCTGGCTTTCCCCCTGTGGTGTCGCAAAGGGGTGGCTGTGTCCCTCCACAAAGGCCTTCGCTCCTTTCAGATGACCCACTCTGTACATCCCTCACTATCTCTGGGTTCTGCTAATTGCCTCATGCCTTCAGTCTTGGATGTAGTAACAGCCCCACTGCTTACAGCTCTAGGATTCTCTGTACTACCTCTTATGACTTTTACCTACCCCATGTGCAAACCCTTGTAAATATGTCATCTCTTCCTTAACCTTCCTTGAATTATCCTGCTTTGATTGTGCTGGCACTGAGCCACAATGTGACCCTGGGGAGGTCCTCTCAACACATGTATCATCTTCCTAATCTACAGATTAAAGAAAATCTCCTCTTAAATGGAGGTCAGGCAGATTTTTTTTCTGTAAGATTTTAAAGCCAACATCTTTGAAAGGGTTATGTGCTACGGAGTGAGTGTAAAGTATTGTGGTGTCAAGTCAATATCTTAAAGTCTTATTGGGATTGCAGAACAAAATAGAATTGTATGCTAGAAATATGCGGTGGGATGAAAATATGTAAAGTATCTGACTAAACATAGGGATTCGATATGAAAAAAAAAAGGAAGGGGTGTAAAGGAGCAAAAATTAGACTTTCTTTGTACTGATAGTGAATCAGATGTCCTACCCACCTTCTTGTTTTCTGCTTCTCTTCATCACTATCTCCTACTTGGAGTCCATTAGGAAAGTCTTTGCTTTGTTGAAAACAAAGGTATGTTAAACTTTCTCACATAAAACATAAACATACTCACTGCTGACAAACCTGGATAAACAGTGAAAATTTCACTCAGATCAGTACTTGTTGACACTGCCCCATACTTCTTCCTGGTACCCTCACCCAAACTAGGGGCCTGGTCCCTAATATTGTGCCCAACTGGCTTTTCTTTCTTTTATTTTTAATAATTCTTTATTGTTGAAAGTATTACATATGTCTCCTTTTTCCCCCGTTGACCCCCTACAGCCC